TGTGCATTCACCAGTTCAAATGTTCTTATGCAACCACTATATTTCTAAACATCACCTTTCTTGGTTGACCAAGGGGAAAATAATACAATAGGAAGCTCTGTTTTGTTACATTTAATAGTTATCGGTCACCAAATAAATATGAATTTAGCTTCCAAAGTTAGTTTTAGAATTTTATCAAACTTGCCTCATTTTACTAAACCTTTCTTTCTTACAGACAACAGTAACCAGTGGTATACACATCAATAAATGTAATCTTTGTTAACAGAAAACGTTTATTCAGCCTCTTAATTTACCATGACTTTCTTCGTCTTAGTTACAATAATTTTTTTCAAAATTTTCAACCCTTTTAAATTCTAAAAAAACTTCATTTCTATTCAGTTTTGAACCCAGTGGCGTTCGCTTCAAACACATGTACATCCAGATGACGAGCCCCAAAAAGGACGAAATGCGAGTCCTTGATTCCACCGCTAGCCACTATCCTTCTTTGCTCACAGACGTTATTGTTGAGCTATTCAGAGCGATTAGTGGTGACATCTTTGATTGTCAAACTGCTTGATTCGGTATTTAATCCGCCAGATAGCACTTGTTCTCTCAAGATTACAGGTACACTTTGGTGATGAGTAGTGCCAAATAACGTGCAACGAAATCCAGGATTTCCTATTCATTTCTTCCAACCACCTTATGTATATATATTATTTAGAACTTGAGCTGACTATTAACTCGTTGCTTTATGGTCCAAAGATGCATGACGTATAAAAAGTTACTGTTAAGACACAGTAATAACATAAACACACTACCAACTGGTTACTGTTTTTCTGAAGGAATGGATAAAAAGGATATTAGATTTTTATTCACTTCCATCTTACAAAACTGACACCATTAATTAAACGGCAAATAGTTCTATTGATTAGTAGTTATATGCTGAACAACATACCAGTTTATGTTTCATATGTTTTTCCAAAACGGCACGATCGTTTATATTGTATTACATAAACTTTTGTTACTGCACACAGATGAAATCTCAATAGAGGCTTAATTGTATTATTTCTCCTTTAATTGTACAATATTCATTATTTGTTATGGGTTATATATCTAGGATCTCGATAGTGAAAGCGTTTCTCACATAGATCTAAAATACTTAGATAAGCAAGTAAGCATTGAGGCAGTTAAAAATAGAATGTTAGGTCTCAGTACATTCATCCCTGTGATAAACAATAAATAATCATTATATATCATCTCTAAGTGTATGGTATTTCTATGAACTTAGATGATCGTTTATATGACAAATTTGAATGAAGGAACATTTTAGGAAATTAAAATTCATCCTGAAATCCAATTTATTCATGGGATAACAACATACACAAACCAAATGAGACGTTTTATCGTTGAGGCTATAATTTATAGACGACATTGAGCAGAACTGAGGTGACACTGAGAAAGTCATACCATGTACTGATTACATAGCAATTTACAAGGATTTTTGTAAATGTTTGAATGAATAATGTGAGTTGTGTTATAGAAAATCTTAGATGTATTATCTCTTTCTGCAAGACTACAGGTAATGCATCTGATTAATTTCAACGTCTCAATCAAAAACTTACTGTCTTTTTAAATTCACTTAGTATTACTTGTCTGAATCTTCCGATTGATGCTAAGGACTGCAACTGGTCAGCCTCTCAAATAGGACCAAACGCGCATCCTGGTTTCCACTGCTAGCCACTATCCATCTTTGCTTACAATGCTTGTGAAATAAGGCTATATTGAGGCAACACGCACAGTATGTACATATGCCAATAAGAGACTGACCAGTTGCAGTCCAAAAACATCAATGGGAAGATTCAAACAGGTAATACTAAGTGAATTTAAACTTCACCCCATTGCACAAGCGAATGGCTATCAGGACTCAGTAGCTGAGTGGATAACACGATGGCGTTTGAAGATAAAGTTACTGGGTTCGAGTCCCAGAGTGAACATCGACTCTGAGATGCAGGTACATCTAGCTGACAAGTCTCGAATAGGACGAAACGTGCATCCTGGATTCCATTGTTAGCCACTATCCATCTTTGCTTACAATTACTGTCTTTTTCTTTTTTGAAGAAATTTTAATATTTACAAATGAAAACATTGTCCATTTTAATGAATTAACAACGAGATTAAGTCACATCATAATCGTATGATTGCATGAGTATTGAATAAACTAAAGTTTACAAAATCCTACCTTCATTCGCATTCCATTTATTTTCTGTTTGAACAACCACCGACTGAAAGACACATCAAGTTCTTTCTCATGATGTTTAATGTAGACCAATTCTAAGCACAAAGTGTAATTCGAAATATCTTGTATAAGCAGGATATGCAAATATCTAACATAAAAACAAAGCGAATCACAGAGTCATGTTACTTTAGGGATTCCGTTTTATCGTTCCGATTAACATTAAGTATAAATTAAAAGTGGGAAAACTCAAGGATTACTTGGAGATATATATGAAGCCTATGAGACTTATTCATAGAAGCTATGCTACTTTATAGTCGTAAAAGATGTCAATTGAAATCAAACATAGTTTACCACATAAGAAGCAGGGAACTAGCTATCTTTATATCTTGACATTAGATATATAAATAGTTTTTCCGAAGTTTAACGAGGGATATGATGTTCAGATTTTACAGAACAATAATCAATCTTAATAACATTTTTAAGGTTTTAGACTGTTTTGACCACCTTTTAATAAGTACACCAATCTAAATTCTTTAAACAGTGAGGTTGTAGTGTCTGTTGTTATGTTAAGCCCATATGCCTTATTCTAACTTCTGGACAAGCCAATTTACCTATCCACCTTGAGTCATGTTTCACCTTGCTAATTATTCACTTACTAACCCCGAATGTTTTTTATATGAGCCGTAGGTGTATGTACTCTTTATCCTATTTATCAGATGTCTGTCACTTACCTCCATCTGACTATAAATATTGATTAACTCTTGATTAAAGTGAGTTGGATTACCCACCATCTCCAATGTGTGTCATTTTTACTTCGCTCTCCAATATTTGCCCTTGTGCTTAAAGCTTTCTGACCTTCGTCATTTGTCAATAAAACAGTAGTGCCGCTTCCCCTTGCCTTCTGATTTTATGCACCGTTAAGATTGGCATTATAACGGTTATCGAAGTGAACGATTAGCGAGGCACGGAACTACAAGGTAGATAATCATGAATTTTAGATGAAACTAACAGACTTTAAATCTAACAGCAGCCTAAATGAACTCCCCAGGCAACCTAAGTTAACTAATTTCTGTTGTTCATCAACAGAAAATAAGTTAAACGAAAAAGATTTTTCTTTATGAGGGTCAATTTACATTTTTTGACAAGCGTTTTCATTTACATAATTCAATAAGTTAAATTTTTGAGAGCAACTGATAAAGATGAAGCTAGAAACAGTATTTGTGCTTTGTGGGAAGCAGAATATTTCCTGATTTTAATGTATTAGTGAAAAACTATGCACAGTTGCTGGTGGGCGGCCTATGCTCTTCCACGAGGGGTAACAGGCGTAAGTAAGTTAGTAAGTATGCACAGTTACAGTTATTTTAATGAGAAATGAGCATTGTTGATATTGATGTTTACATGAGTAACTGATGGTTCAATTTATGCATATTCATTACCTTAATTAAAAAAATTTGATATTTATATGGTCTGATCAACTACCATAATAACTATGTTCATGAGGCATTTTACTGTAACATTTTATCTATCTTTGTTATACAAAGGCTCATTAATATGGAAAAAACGTGCTAAATATTAGGTGAAGAAATTCTTTTTGAAAAAACTTCTTATTGATCCTAACAATATAATTTGATCAGAAGGTGGTCTTGTGGAGATTTTAATAATTTTATAGTTGAAATCATGAGTCAATTGAAGCTGTACCACGATGGAAGACCTGGAAGCACTGGACAGTCGTTTTGTCCACGATCCCGCCTTGTGAGATTCGAACCCAGGACCTATCAGTCTTACGCGCGAGCACTTAACCTCCAGAACCACTGAGCTTCGATTGACTCATGATTTCAACTATAAAATATTTTTTGAACTAATATTTTAAATAGTTCAATTTAGTGTCCAGTTTATTTGAAAGCAATTTATGTATAATTCAGATGATAATTAAATCCGATTCTATTAATGTGAAGAAGCAATCGTGATAACTTAAAATCAAGCGTCGATGAGACAATTGGTCAGTTTCTTTTAAATTGACTCAAGAAATCAGATCCTAGTGAAATATTGAAGATTAAATTGACTAAAACAGTTATTTTACACTGAAAATGATCTTTAAAAGGAAATCAACTCATGCCCTCCTCTATTCGTTTTAATTATTCTTTCTGGATTGTTACTCAGCTGAATCTTATTTACCCCAAAATTAGTGCGTTCGAATGTATTAAAATTCATTGTATTAATTAAATTATGTTACCTCGTAGAACTAAGAATCAATCATTTTGAACACATAGAAAATTGATCAGAATAAACATTGATTCAATACTGTTCAGAGAAATTCAATTTGCATTAAAAAATACTTTGAATACGATAGAGTTGGATAGAGCTAGTTTTAGGAAACCCTACAAATGATGTCCCTCCAAAAAGATGAAGAAATGAAAACATTACATTTGAAGGTAGTTAGAGACTGAGAATTTCGAGATATTTAAACTGACTATGTGACGGAGAAAAAGTCTTTCGTTGAACTGAACTATGATATATCCATGATGCTTGACCGATGACCTTCACTGAGCACTATCTGTTTAAACAAACTATCAATATCAATGTTGAGCGCTTAGGATTTCAATAAAATTGTCAGTAGATTATTAAAAACACAAATAAAATAGACCAACAATATCACCATTTCAAAACCTGCACCTTGAAAACAAGTACTGCAACCTTCACAAATGAATTTCCGTATTCATCACACACAACGAAAATCTGACATAACTTAGTCAAAATTAATGATGAAAATGTATGAAATATCGACTCTCAAATGAAAAAACCAATCAAAAAATAAAACAAAAAATTATGAAAATATGTGAAACAATCAAACAACATTCCTAATGTATCATTCACCAATCAAATAATCACAAAATTATTTATACGCAAAGTCACACAGTACAATTATGTGATTAGAATAGTCAGTCAATTCAAATGTAAACAACCAACATTGTGCGTCATTTCCAAATACCCTGTCACTCGACTTTCGTTAATTTCGTGGCACGTGTCTGTTTGATTCCCAAATATAAAAATGAAAGCGATACATATCACTGTATCATTCGATAAATCATTCAACCGATAATTTCTACATTAAATCTAACACAATGAACAAGACAGTATCCAAACATATTTTCACCGAATCGAGAGCTAGACAGAATTTCGCCAAAGAATGTGAGGATGCCATCAATAAACAAATCAACATGGAACTACAAGCTGCTTACGATTATATGGCATTCTTCACTTACTTCGATCGAGATGATGTATCATATCCGAAAGCAGCTGAATTCTTTCGAAAAGCTTCACATGAGGAACGTGAACATGCAGAGAAGCTGGCGAAATATCAGAACAAACGTGGTGGTCGTGTTCAGTACAGTGATATCAAGTGTCCGACTAAGACAGAATTCAGTGATTTGGTAGATGCGATGAACACTGCATTGTCAATGGAGAAGGCAGTGAATGAGGTGAGTGTGGCCTCACTTAGTCAAATTTAGGAATTTTATTGATTTATCAAATACGAGCCTCACACGTTTATTCCTACTCTCATTGATACTTGAATATCATGAATCAAACATGGGAGAACTAAACTTCATTTTAGTCCACATTTCGTTTCAACCAGTCTGATGTATTCAACGTAAAACTCAGTTGGCATATTGCTCATTAGTATTTAGGACACAATGAAAAATGCTTTTCATCCCTCACTGTAACGGGTCAAATAATTTTGAAAAAATTATCAGTGACGTCATTCTTCTTTTATTGTTGAACCAAGGCAGAGAAAACTGCTCATAGAATTCGATACTTCAAAATCAATATCATCGCCTATTTATACTAACTTCACAGAACTGACAATAAGTTCAAATGATTCCAATCAACCTAAGCCTTTCAGTATGTGAGTAGTACTTAGTGATATCTTGTTGGATGGATGAATTTTTAGTGGCTTAACTCGAGAAGAAACTGTGGGTAATTCCCAGTTAATATAACACACATCGGCGAGAGTATAATTTGTGGACGAATCAATCGGATATAAGAGGATAGATCTTGGATTTTGACACAAAATTCATTCATACATTTGATTAAATATTTTCCTGGCATTTTAACTGATTCCAGTTGGTGGTGAAAACTCCAAATCTAGTTCTCACCATAAACATCAGGTGTAAATCATAATTCTAATTCCTCACATTGATTCATCACTGTCATTTAGTCCTAGTTATTAGGTGGACATTCTCAGGGTCACCCTCGTAGTGGGTGTCGATTCGAGGACGGACTATGATCACCACTACTATTCGATTACGCCCCCAAAAACGAATTGGTTCCTTTGATAACTCGTAAATCAGAAGGCTTTATTATTCCAGATCAAGTATATTTATCGGCGATCTCGTGGTATCGAAATAATACCGAGACGTGCCAAAGGGTACAGGCGAAATGGACAGAGCGTAAGAAAGTTCGAACCAAACAAGACAGATAGCGAAACAAGAAGTGAGTCTGATACAGTTAAACAAATACAGTAAAACAATCTCTGGTACAATTGGTTACAATAATAATAATTGTTTCTGTTATTCCAGTCGTGTTCTTATCAAGACTGGCCGGTCACTACACCCTAGCGTCGTTCAAATATCGTCCATAAATTATGGTCCCACTCACACATCAACCACAATATAATAGGAAAACAATGTCATCAAGATAATTTTCTCACATTCTTGATGGTACTTGCTTTATTATTAGCATGAAACTCAATAGTATCTACTGCCGTAATTATCAGTTTCTGGTGAATGTTTAATTTGACACAATTCATGTATCGTCTTTCATAACACTGTATTGTTTATTTATTATTTATTTATTTAAACACATAAATATTGGTACAAGGAAGCTCCAGATAAATATGCGCCTCACAAATCTCATTCGATTTGTGTGAGGGCTGTTACACTGCCCAGACTGAAGCAGGTGGTTTTCTTAGGGGGCCACACCCGGAGCCTTTGACCTAAAGGTCTGATCCATAAGGCAGTGGAGCATCGTAAGGAGATGCAGTCCCATGGTAGTCGGTGACCAACAGTTGGTTCATACGGCATTCGTTCCATCAGGATACTGGAGCCCATGTGCACCATTGGTTTTGAATCATGGTTTTCCAACTCGCCTAGGTGGACTTTCCGGGTCCATCAGTCCGGTTAAAGCGCCATACATTCGCTTTTCGTCTTCTCAATTTTGTAAACAACACCCTGGTGCAAGAAGGCAGTGAATAGGACTTCCCTGGCAGAGGCTATATATTCGCGTGGCCATATGAGAGCTTTCGAGAGGGAGAGCAGACTCTCCCCACTCTCGGCCGTACCAGAGCATTTGGGGGCAACACTGTATTGACTCCTACTGTACAAGGAAAATGAACTGCAATTCCACCAAGTAACTATCATTTTGTTTCCTCTATAACAGCTGAAACTACTGAAATACATACACGTCTTCACGATCTCAATATTGCTTAGAAACGTTACCTATTCTTCATTCACTTACTGAAATCTAATTCACTTGTTTATTTCCATTATAGTCATTATTGAAACTCCATGAAATAGCTGCAAAGAACAATGATCCAGCACTAACCGATTTCATTGAGAGTCAGTATTTGCATGAACAAGAAGATGCAATCAAACAATTTGCTAACTATGTGACAGAGACAAATCGAGTTGGAAATGGACTTGGTCAATATCTCTTCGACAAGATGACACTGAAAGAATAAACACGACTTGATTCAGTTGAACTGTTCATTCATTGTTATGTGCCTTATTTTATTCTCTGCATTCGTTTTTTGTCAGTAAATGAGTTATTCTCACTACTTTTCTAGTTTTCTTATTGTCTTTCAAATTGTATGGAACTGGAAGTGGACAACCTGTTTTTTGTATTGAATAACTGATTTAGTTAACTTTCAGCTTTCGATGTGGAAAGTATTTTATAGACACACGAGAATGATTGGATAAATGATATCCGATGTTTTTCTAGATAGTGAGTGTTTAGTGACTTATTGGGCTGTCCTTTGAGATCGTACTATACAATATTGTTTTCAGAATACATTTGAAAGTTAATATTTAAGATTAGATAGCCTTGGAAAGTTGTTTATTTTATGACGAATATGGAAATGTCATAGTACACATAACGTGTTAGCTCTTTGAACATTTAATTAAACCAAAAAAAGCATTGGAAAAGCTAAGGATAATTTGAAATCTACCCGGTTTTTTCCATCATAGATTATCTCATTTTGGGTATTGTTGAAGACTATGCAGGACGGGGAAATTGTTTCATCCTAGTGAGGGATTACCCAGCAGTGTGACTAATAAATTTTACAAATTAAACCACTCTGCATGAAGTCACTTCAATTAAACTATATTTTTCAGCTTACATATGGCTTACGTATTCATTCTTCTCTATCCTCTATCACTAATACAACGGCGTCTTCCTACATATGAAACATAAGTATCTTCAAGATGTTCGATATCAACGACAATTCCAATGGCGAATTCTAAACAGATTTGGTGATACTCACTCACCGGCTTTTGAATTGATAGTCACCAGTTATTATCAGCAAGTGATAAATAATAAATGCATTTCATTAATTCACGAGCAACAATTTACTACTTCTTCATTCTTTGTACACTTGAGCGATCACATATACAGTACTGAAAATTTTAATTAGTAATTTCCCAAGCCAACATCTGATGCCATTTATATTGTTTTATTATCACATTATTATTACATTATTATACTGTATTTAAATAAATTGACTTGTTTGTTCTTATTGTTCTTAGTTGCCTATTATAATGTGTAACGAAACTTCTCCGTGTAGACAACATGTGTTTTAAATGTCATCGTAATTGCATCGATACGGAAAAGTAGACCGGTTTTGCTCTCCATACGTGGGTACATGGGTTCCATGTAAAGTAGATTATTAATCAGAGAATATGGACGGGTGTATGACAATAACACTACGTGTATTCAAGCACTTCGTTGATTTCATGATTTTTATAAAAACAAGTGACTGATAACAGTGGATACACATTTAAATATAGGTATAAAGAAACTTGTATGCAATAAGTAGTAAATTTGTCGTTTTCTATTCGTACATTATTATCCAATATATCTTTCTATTTACAGTAAGTATCTTTTATGCTTACTGGTCAACATTCGATCACTAAAATATTTCAACTGAACATGAAGCTGATATAAGGCGTCAGTTTTAAATAATGATATTTACAGTGGTGGTCTATCTCAAACTTTCTTTCTCATGTGTCAGTAAATGGAAAACCAATCACGTGTGAAGGTGACGACTTCTATTCATTTAGGATTTAATGGGAAAATCTATGAACAGCTGACAAGTAATTTATTCTGGGCTTGTGAACTTCTTTAAAGTGTCCTCGTAAGTTCTCTGTTTTGAAAGATAAGGTAAATAAGAGCATGATGAAAGCAAATTTATGATTAAGCAACTTGAGGAATTATGATCAAGTTACCTCTGGTCCTTCTGTATGATGAAGGAGATTGATTTAGTTATGCCAGTCTCTCATCATATGGCAGCTTTGCGATTCCGGGAATCAAGTTTTCGGACTTCTTCCAATAGCTCACTCCAGTTTAGGACGAGCGAACAACATATACAAAATTGAAAAAGTTTAAGCATCGAGATAGCTTAAAGCTGTACAACAGATAGTTCAGTGTTATTCACCGCCTATGTATATGTAACTTGGTGACAAGTATAAAACATAATGCACTTTGAAGCATCTATCGACTACTGAAAAATCCTAGACCGTCTACATAAGTTCTGAAGATCATTTTGAAGCTGTGAACCATATTTTCTTGCACCTTTCCTTTCCAAAGATTTGTTCTGACTTTAGCTGACATGTCGTTGTTGATATACATATGGAAAGCCAAAGCTAGAGTTATGTGGTCACTCACTCAAGTTTTGTGGTGCTTAATAAACATGAATGTTTATTACCAAAGTCTGCTATTTGTTAATTAAATAATTATCCATAAAAGCTTTTTTAAACTACATCTTTTCTGTGTAAGCTAACTAGCTCCAATTGAGTTTGTTGATGATGCGATTCTAATCTGAATAGTAGATAAAAACTTGATAGTACAAACATACTCAAGTTGTACTTCAGTGAAAGTTTGTTATTTTATGAATGCTTAGAAGATATCATTATTCTTATCTGGCGTGACATCGAATATTTAATGCTTGTTAAACATCCAAGATCAATAATTCAGTTCAAATTCTAAAAATAAGTCAGTGTGAACCTGTTTAACAGTTAAATTATAATAATACCATGTTTGCTTGACTTGAAAGACAAGATGAAAGCTGATGTAACCATCTGAAAAATTGAAGATAAACTTTTAAATAGAGGATGATTATTTGCCATAAAGTATCAGCTAAAACTTGCTGGTGGGTAGCGTATGCTCCTCCGCGAGGGGTAACAGGAGTGACAGGCTAAAACTGTTCAAAATCTCAGAAACTAACAAAATAGAAAAATTTCAGCATAAAGCTGAAAAGTATTGTTTTGATATGCGCGAAAACGGCAGAAATTATTTTTCTACCACGCCTTTCGTTTGTGGCCTTACACTGTTCTCCATTATACCACTACATAGAATACACATACTGTCAATTACTGATGTGAACAGTGAAACAAGAAGCCTTAACAAACTACGGAAGCTATTTCTGGGAACACTATTTCATTTAATTCGAAGCCTGTAAAACTGTAACATTTAGTTTTGCTCCTAGTCTATTCTACAGATCATAAGCTTTCGTTTGATAAATGATTCACTACCATAGCCTTTCCTGTTCCAAGGCCACTGTAATTTAGACGTGACCCTTTGTACTCTATTTTCTACTCTGGTTCCCCAGTTTTGGACGTAGTTGTATTTTCCTAATTATTGACGTTGTGGTCAGGTTAATCATCTATCTACTCATGTATCTTTTTGCACTAATCTGAATTCTGAATTAAGATACCAGATCGGGACTGGAATAAAGCGATTAGTGTTCCAGTTGGCTTGCCTTCTCTCTCGCGTGCTTGTCAGCCAATCAAGGACAGAATAGTTTTCGTCTCTCTACCCCACTTCGAACTCACGTATACTAGCCTCAAGGTGAAGCTAGTCAGCCTATCGCGTCAAGGTCTTAATCTACAATAGACAAGTTATCCTCGGCACGAAAGTGGGTAGACAGATCAAGGACATAACAATAACAATCCACTTGATTTATGAAACTATGAGAAATATTCTTTTCTGAATTAATCTATAACACTACAGAAAATAATAATGTGAAAATATGTGAAACCACTATAGTATGCGTTTATAAACAAAACATAACATCCATTGCTCAGATAAACTTCAATATAGCTATACTTAACCAAAAAACTAGAAGATTTATGTCAACATCAAACGTGAATATTTGGGTGATTCGTTAATTTCGTAATATTCAGGGAATACATGGCGTAAGCATGTGTTGGTGTTGAGAACAGCTGAAAGAGTAAAGAGTTTATCTCAATCGCAAACACAAAATCTCAAATAAAAAATAAAATTGTTAAAACCTCCGTCCATAGGCACTCTACAAAAATGTTGAATCAGTCAACATCTGGACTAAAGTTCCTCAACGAATGTAAAGATGTCATTAATATACAAATTAAATCGAATTACAGTCTGTTCACTAATACATGGGATTTTTAACATATTTCAATTTAAGTCATGTGCCATTTCTGAAGCAGCACCTATAACAGAATAACTGGTATACTAATTCCTGCACTATTTTGAAATTCATAAAACCGCTTTAACCCTATGTTTCTTGCTCATAGACAAAATATCCGGTTATTTGTCAATTGTGAACATATTCACGTTTTGATGACATTTGAAGGAATTTTTGATGGACTATTATTTCAATTAGTAGATCCACACATCTCATTAATCACTGGTCACTTAGAACAAAGAATTTGTGTTGTTATTGTTAGCGTTTACATTCATCTTTGTAAGTTTGATTGAAATGATAGACTAAAGGAGATAAATATGTTCCTAGTTCAACCAATAATTTTCGTCTTCCAATGATTTGTTATTCAAATTGTAATTGATAGTTAGTCAGTCAGCTACAACGTAAGACCAGGCACACATTTACATCGGTCCAAGTTGCCATACCTCATTATCACAACAAGATGAACACCGAATTCATAGAAATAGTTAATTTAGTGGTGGTAATATACAAAAGAAATATTGTATATAAGGATATAGTACAGGAAGAAAGACAGATAATTAATGTCTCAAGAACTAATCATTACTCGTGACGAAGTATTTTCGAATTGGAATGCAAATAGTTTGCCTAAACTTTTGATCTACCCAGACCAATATAGATATTATATGTTTAAACGTATGTCTGATTCACGAGTTTATCATGAAATGGGCTACAAAGTCAGAGACATATTTTGAAAAGATACAAGGTATTTGGTGAACTTTATGTTCACTATTAAATTGCGGTGTACCTAAAATACAAATATACGAATTTATGGCAAAGTTTATGAAAAACTTATGTCATTACATAAGAGGCTATTATGCAAATGACTACCTGAACGTAATGCATGTTTACATGTGAGAACTGGTCGAAGATATATCTATAATTTTATGTAGTAAAAGTACTATTGCCAAAATAGTTTATATGTATACTAGCATTACAATCAAGACTAGTCCAGAAGAATATTATGAGCAGTTACTGTATTTATGTATGAGCAGGTATATTAACTAGTCAATCAGTTAACTATTATTAAGAAAGAGAACATTGAGTGCTATGAGTATTAGATGTATATTGAAAGATAATCAGTATCACATATATATGTACACAAAAAAGTTAACATGATCTAAACATCTTGCGGTCAACACTTAGAGATGTCACGAACTGAATGAAATCTTTACAAGTATTGGATAGAGTTGATCAAAACGGGTTTGCGATTTGAACCATAATTGATCATATGTTAGCTACAAACGAAATTGCTTATTTGTACTTTTAAATAAATAATGAAAAAAATGTTCGTCAGTAAAAGTAAGGTAAGCTTCTAGATATATTTTCTGACAAAGTCAAGTACATTAACACTGGAGCAGTGTTCATTCTCGTCAAGCTTATTGCCTTTTTGATCAAACTGCTTATTTGGTCTGGGGGATTTATTTAATTTCAAGATCAAGGCTATAGATATTGTCTATATTTTATTGATAGACCTATAATAGATAAGCCTTTTAATGACATATTTCCAGTACAAAATTTCCTGACTAGTTCACGTGATGTGAACATCATGATGCGCGCGAGACTGATAGGTCCTGAGTTCGAATCTCGCGAGGCAGGATCGTGGATGCGCACTGCCGAGGGGTGCAACAATAGGACGAAACGGCCATCCAGTGCTTCCAGGTTTCCTATGGTGGTCTAACTTCAATTGACTCATGATCTCAACTACGTAAAAATTACTAAACTCCACAAAACGCCCTTCTGAGAAAAGGACTAATTGCTTTAAATTCTAATATTGATCAGTGTGACAGAAATATTACAATATAAAAACAGTTAGTTGGAGACAAACGTTAGAATTATGTAAATTTCAATCGTTGAGATAATTTCAAATATAATTTTCACATATAATGACTTCTCTGTACTCGGCGCTCAATTTTCGTCAAGCTATTCGTTCTAATCATGACGAATATTCGTATAACAAATATTAGTTTCAAGTCTAGCGAAAGTTTCCATATTCACTCTTATTTATCGATTTCAATTTTCAAGTGACGATAAGTGTACACACACAGATTTTGTGTAAATGTTAATAATGTTTTGAATGTTTTATGGGATATATTATTAAGTGTAAGAATACAACTTAATACCAAACTGTATGAATGATTTACTATCATTTCAGTTGCAAAATTGTTATAAGTAAATTCTCAACAGAGTCATGTCAGCTGTATAGATCTTCAAGACTACTGGCGGTGTGTCTATTAATTACTTCTCACATCGAATGCTGAAAGTGTACTAACCCAGTTATTTAATACAAAAACAGGTTGTCCACTTCCAGTTCCATACAATTTGAAAGACAATAAGAAAACTAGAAAAGTAGTGAGAATAACTCATTTACTGACAAAAAACGAATGCAGAGAATAAAATAAGGCACATAACAATGAATGAACAGTTCAACTGAATCAAGTCGTGTTTATTCTTTCAGTGTCATCTTGTCGAATAGATATTGACCAAGTCCACTCCCAACTCGATTTGTCTCTGTCACATAGTCAGCAAAATGTTTGATTGCATCTTCTTGTTCATGCAAATACTGACTCTCAATGAAATCGGTTAGTGCTGGATCATTGTTCTTTGCAGCTATTTCATGGAGTTTCAATAATGACTATAATGGAAATAAACAAGTGAATTAGATTTCAGTAAGTGAATGTAGGATAGGTAACGTTTCTAAGCAATATTGAGATCGTGAAGACGTGTATGTATTTCAGTGGTTTCAGCTGTTATAGAGGAAACAAAATGATAGTTACTTGGTGGAATTGCAGTTCATTTTTCCTGTATAGTAAGAGTCAATACAGTATTATGTAAGATGATACACGAATTATGTCAAATTAAACATTCATCAGAAACTGATAATTACGACAGTAAATACCATTGAGTTCCATGTTCATAATAAAGCAAGTAATATGAAGACTGTGAGAAAGTTATGTTGATGACATTGGTTTCCTATCAGATTGTGGTTTGCGTGTGGGTGGGACTATAATTTGTGGACGAACTTTGAACAGCGCTAGGGTGACCTTGAAAATGTCCACCTAATAACTAGGACGAAATGAGATGTGAAACCACTGAGAGGAATTAAATTATGATTTACACTTGATGGTTAGTGTTAGGAACTAGATTTAGAGTTTTCACCACCAACTGGAATCAGTTAAAATGCCAGGAAAATATTTAACCAAATGTATGAATGAATTTTGTGTCAAAATCCAAGATCTATCCTCTTATATCTGATTGGTTCGCCCACAAATTATAATCTCGCCGATGTGTGTTATATTAACTGGGAATTCCACACAGTTTCTTCTCGAATTCAGTCATCAAAAGTGCATACATATTTGTGAGAAACAAGATATCATCAAGTACTACTCACATACTGAAAGGCTTAGGTTGATTGGAATCATTTGAATTTATTGTCAGTTCTGTGAAGTTAGTATAAATAGGCGATGATATTGATTTTGAAGTATCGAATTCTATGAGCAGTTTTCTCTGCCTTGGTTCAACAATAAAAGAAGAATGACGTCACTGATAATTTTTTCAAAATTATTTGACCCGTTACAGTGAGGGATGAAAAGCATTTTTCATTGTGTCCTAAATACTAATGAGCAATATGCCAACTGAGTTTTACGTTGAATACATCAGACTGGTTGAAACGAAATGTGGACTAAAATGAAGTTTAGTTCTCCCATGTTTGATTCATGATATTCAAGTATCAATGAGAGTAGGAATAAACGTGTGAGGCTCGTATTTGATAAATCAATAAAATTCCTAAATTTGACTAAGTGAGGCCACACTCACCTCATTCACTGCCTTCTCCATTGACAATGCAGTGTTCATCGCATCTACCAAATCACTGAATTCTGTCTTAGTCGGACACTTGATATCACTGTACTGAACACGACCACCACGTTTGTTCTGATATTTCGCCAGCTTCTCTGCATGTTCACGTTCCTCATGTGAAGCTTTTCGAAAGAATTCAGCTGCTTTCGGATATGATACATCATCTCGATCGAAGTAAGTGAAGAATGCCATATAATCGTAAGCAGCTTGTAGTTCCATATTGATTTGTTTATTGATGGCATCCTCACATTCTTTGGCGAAATTCTGTCTAGCTCTCGATTCGGTGAAAATATGTTTGGATACTGTCTTGTTCATTGTGTTAGATTTAATGTAGAAATTATCGGTTGAATGATTTATCGAATGATACAGTGATATGTATCGCTTTCATTTTTATATTTGGGAATCAAACAGACACGTGCCACGAAATTAACGAAAGTCGAGTGACAGGGTATTTGGAAATGACGCACAATGTTGGTTGTTTACATTTGAATTGACTGACTATTCTAATCACATAATTGTACTGTGTGACTTTGCGTATAAATAATTTTGTGATTATTTGATTGGTGAATGATACATTAGGAATGTTGTTTGATTGTTTCACATATTTTCATAATTTTTTGTTTTATTTTTTGATTGGTTTTTTCATTTGAGAGTCGATATTTCATACATTTTCATCATTAATTTTGACTAAGTTATGTCAGATTCTCGATGTATAGGATTATTATGGAAATTCCTTTCTGAAGATTGCATCAGTTGTTCTACAGATGCTTATTCTAAATTGATGAATTTTCGCTTGTGATGAAGCTTTCCTTTGCATTATCCCTTATCCATGTTGTTAAATTAAGTATACCATTCATCAAATGACGAATAAGTCTTTTTCATTATGTGTGTTAGATCTTATTTACACTTGTTTTCGTGTGTTCACATTTTCGACTTAGATGCTTGATTCAAAACACAAAATTCGAATAGATTATGAAATTTACGATAAACTTGATCATTTTGTTCATGCATTTACAGTCATTTTGATCGTTTCTTACGGTCTCACAGAAAATGACTTTTAAGACAAGTGAAGTATTCTTTGAATCTATATAGATTCATGAAACTAACATCCATTCAAATCCATAGTCTTTCTGTCAGTTTGTTTAGCATTGAGGTTTGTATTAATGTTGAATTGTTAGCTCACCTTAATAACTGATATCTAACAATACCTTCCGAATAGCTACATTCATAATCTATTGAATGAATGTGCATTAGTGAAAGACTAATTTATTGCAAATTGACAGAGTGGCTTAGTAAAATATGAAAACTATACATTAAATACATTATTTGTATACCTTGCTTCTGTTGTGCTTCATATCTTCATAATAATTTCAATTCTGTTTTTATAACAATTACTCTCTGTTTACATTCCTGTTTTCTTCATTTCGATTTTTCCAATCTTCTGCTGACAGGGATAATTCTTCTGATCGGTGTTACATACTACTTATACATGTCAACATAAGTGGCACACACCACGATACTATCATTTAAGTAGACCTCCAAAATCTAACCACTTCACAATCTTTGAACGTTAAACCTGTAAGAAGGTGGAAATACTATTATTACATTGATTCAGATTTCTTTGATGACAATAAACCATATTTTATTTAAATATTTTATATGCAACTTTGAAATTCTGCATTCAATTTAAGTAATAATTTACTAATCTTATGATTCGGAATCAAATTGATTATAAACATATCTGATGCTTATTTTACGAATGATGTTAATTGTCTTAAAGTGTTTGAAAACTAATCAACTTTGTTATGTTTACATAAAATGTTGACTACATTTCTTGACAGTATCAAGAAACATTTTAACTTGAACTCTACCCTGAATGACAATTCCTTCAAATGAGTTTGTAGTTGGCGTCGACTCGCGATTGACTATGATCACCACTACAATAAGATTATGTGCCAGATATCGACTTGGATCCCTTGGTAGGCCAGAAAAACAGAAGGCTGGTAATGGTCGCAATAAGATATATTTGTTGGCAATCTCGTAGTATCGAAAGAATACCGAGATGTACCAAAGTTTACATGCGGAACTGCCGAGTGTAAGCTAGTTCGCTCAGGGTCACAGGCAATGGAAGGAAAAGTGCATTTGGTACAGTTAAATAAACAAGTACAGTAAAACAATCACTGATACAATAGGTTATAATAACAATTGTTTCCAATATACCAATCGCGTTCTCGTCATAAAAGTAGGTCACTACAAGTCCATAAGACCTTGAAGATAAACAATTAACGTTATCTAACAAGAATACAAACCATTAATAAGTTACATATCGCGGCATATATTTATCTAGCTGATAAGTTTAGATATTTTTAACAGTAAAATCCAAAGGAAAGTTTATTTGTTTATGTTACTTAGATAATCTAACAATTCCTAAAAGTAGTGCTCGCAGTATTTGAATTAAGAGACATTCGTATGATCATCAGACAGTTTCCATTTATACTGAGGTTTGTATAGATTAGTGGATTTTCATACTTTATGTCACAGACTAGTCTTAGTTAGACAAACAAAAAAAACAAGAGAACATCAATGTTTGATCTACTATATACATACGTATATTCTGTGAGACCAGGTTAGGGTTCTAAAGGTAAAGTAAACGCATGCTAGAGCTAAATATCTTTGGTTCTACCCTCTCGTGAATCATACGTGCTCTCTGGTTTGGAGCTCCATATCAAGACGAAAATTCCTCGCTTTCTTTAGCTGTCTGAGATCAGTTCGTTGTTGAACGAAGGTGATAGATAATTTGTTGGGCTATAAGATCCATCCTCAAATTTTTAACACACATATTGTGTTTGAAATAGTTATCCAACTCGTTATAACCTAGTTTGCTGTAGATCTAATGAGTAGTGATCTTCTGTTATAACTTATATTGACAGCTTCATGTTTTTTTGACCAAAGTATTTCTGGAAAAGTTAAATGCATTGGATGAATCTAATGTGATTATAAGCAACCAATTCACATACCGATCCAGCTTTATCTAAACAGGATGAACTACTTTCAATTTGTAAGTAGACGGAACAAATAAAACAATTTATAGCCTAGCGATAACAGTGAAATTGGTAAACTTTTCGAAAATTCTTCTAACAGCATCGATATGAAGATATTGTTTGTATATTAGGCAATTTAGAGATTGAAATGGAAGTGTTCATTACCACTGAATGAATAAATTTATGGAAAACAGATAATGGCTTTTAAGTTAAAAAGACTATATATGCGAATTAGTAGATAAACTACAGTGAGCATGAATTTCTAATGTCTCACATGTCAATTCATTTATTGATTTTGATGAATACGTACATTTCAAGCATTATATAGGAGAGGAATTCTTGAAAAGGTTTATTGACAGTCAGTTTACTACCTAAAAGATTCAAAGGACATTTTAAAATTTTCACTCCATCAGACAACTTGTGTTATTTGTTGACAGAGATTGTTTAATTCAATAAAATAATTCTTAATTAACTTAGTATTGTTTGTTTGAATCTTCCTATTGATGTTTAGGATTGCAACTGGTCAGTCTCTAATTAAATTGCATATGAAGTCAGTTAACACTCTGATCATTTTCTTCTCAATACACTAGGTTTCATTCAACTTCTATTAGAAGAATATTACTTATCAATGTTTTTCAGAGCAGATATATTGATTACGCACACCTGAGTGATAAGTTTCGAAACTAATCTAATCATTAACTGCGTTCATATTGTTTTATTTGTAATGTGATTTGTTCTTCATTGAACGTTTAACACTCAATTCTACTCTTTATTCAGATGGTGGAGAAGATTTGTAGCTGAGGTGGATGATTTTGACCGAGTTTTGTTCTCCGAGCTAAGTGGTTTGGTCATGGAGCTTTCATCGTCCTTCTGAACGATATCATCATTATTGGTACACAACTCATAATTTAGTCTACATTTGGCAATATGTAGATTGACGAAAGTTGTTTTTCACACATCATTATAGAATTTATTTCATTTAGTAGGATGCAAACTTTTTGAGTGCAAGTTGTTAACTGAAATGACGTATACTGTATTTCGATGGGTTGTGTTCAATAAACTGAATCCAGGATGCAGCAGGTGTTAGTGTAAGTGTAGTGAACAAAGCACAAGTTGGGACAATGGAATGTTTTTAAGCACAAATTATAGACTATCTCACTAAATTCTGATTACCATACAGTAAACAATTAATTTGCAAAATAACAATCAATTATCTCAATCTTCATTGTTACTTCTGTAAATATCAATCCATCTTCTCTAATTTCATTGTTCATGCATTTTCCTACCGATTGCGCTTCATTTCAGTCCTTTCCTTATCGGTCTTCTGTCAAAATACATTTCATGTCTGACCATCACAATACACTACTTATACGGATATAAGTAGACCACACTACATAGGTAATATGCGAAGCTTATTTGTGACTTTAACCTATATGATGTGTTCCTGCTTTGTTTGTTCTACTAGAGGGACTCCAGAGTGCAGTTAATCAAACACGTATTTGAGAATATTTTCGCTGCTCTGTTTTGTTATAAGTCACTGTATTTCAGAACTATGATGACTAAATTATTCAACTAACGAACATTCAACACTGTTATACTTTATTGACTAAAATAATGAATTCATCTTTTTTTATTCGTTACATCTTTTAATCTGTAATGTCATTTGATATTCTTACACTAAAGCCAGCTAACTAACCATGAACCCTTAAATGATCACCAGATTCTTGAAATCATGTTTTAGTGGAACCACTTGAAAAAATAATATGTCAGTGTACCCTATCTATTTATATCAAAACGTTTTATTCCTAACATTCAAGATCATCTAAAATCTAGTGTTCTTCAAAAAAATTCATCTTTTGTCACAGCAAAAAAATATATTCCGACGAGAAAACTTTTTTTTCTTGATACATGATCCTTAAATACGGATAATATACTTGTATGAGCGATGTCTTAACGAAATTTCAGTTCGAACCGAAAACCATCACGATTATAATTTATTCAGAAGCATTTCAATTGTTTTATTTAACGACTGCCCTTAACTTGATTACTTACTTACTTACGCCTGTTACCCTTCGTGGAGGAGCATAGGCCACCATTAAGCTACTCTATTTCCAACATTAGACGGAACCAATATCAATTGGAAGCTGATTATTCGTACACATATATAATGAATGTAATCAATGACTATCTTTAGCGAGTGTAAAACTTTTCAGCCGATTATATTCCTACAATTTGTTTATGAAACTCTAATAAGTATGAATCAAAAACAAACATACTAATGGAAAGATTAGGAATGCAAATGTGAAAACATGTGAAAGACCTATTGAATATCTTGGAATTTCAATGCTTATCTATTAGTCAATCATTTAGATAAACTTAAACAAATACACAATTATTGTAACATTATTGTTTTGGTCATTGTTTACTTCAAAATGATACTCAAATATATATGAAATATTTTGTTTATGAGTTTGTCTAGATTGACAAAAAATCATCTGGAAGAGTACAGAGTTTACCTTAATTACAAATATAAATACTCAAAAAAGAAAACTAGGAAATGATTAAACAATTGTCTCCCGAGACACATTACAAAGCAACATGAGTAAATCAAGAGCCAGACAGAATTTCGCTACAGAATGTGAGGATGCCATCAATAAACAAATCAATATGGAACTACAAGCTGCTTACGATTATATGGCATTCTTCACTTACTTCGATCGAGATGATGTATCATTTCCGAAAGCAGCTGAATTCTTTCGAAAAGCTTCACATGAGGAACGTGAACATGCAGAGAAGCTGGCGAAATATCAGAACAAACGTGGTGGTCGTGTTCAGTACAGTGATATCAAGTGTCTGACTAAGACAGAATTCAGTGATTTGGTAGATGTGATGAACACTGCATTGTCAATGGAGAAGGCAGTAAATGACGTAAGTCGCATACTGAATCATAATCTATTTATAACTAAATCATCGTTGAATGACTATCAAAAATAATTAGTCTTAAATATATTTAGACTCTATATTAATGTTTGTGTGTTTTTTCTTTACAGTCATTATTAAAACTTCATGAAATAGCTGCAAAGAACAATGATCCAGCACTAACCGATTTCATTGAGAGTCAGTATTTGCATGAACAAGAAGATGCAATCAAACAATTTGCTGACTATGTGACAGAGACAAATCGAGTTGGGAGTGGACTTGGTCAATATCTATTCGACAAGATGACACTCAAAGAATAAACACGACTTGATTCAGTTGAACTGTTCATTCATTGTTATGTGCCTTATTTTATTCTCTGCATTCGTTTTTTATTAGTAAATGAGTTATTCTCACTACTTTTCTAGTTTTCTTATTGTCTTTCAAATTGTATGGAACTGGAAGTGGACAACCTGTTTTTGTATTGAATAACTGAGTTAGTACACTTTCAGCTATTGATGAAGGAATTATTTTATAAACACACCGAAATGAATGGATAAATGATATCTGATGTTTTTCTTGGTAGTGAGGGTTTAGTGACTTAATGAGCTGTTCTTTGAGATCATACTATACAGTTGTTTTTCAGAATGCATTTGATTGTAACTATCTGAGATTAGGTAACTTTGGAAAGTTGTTTATCTTGTACCTATGTGGCTTTCCTGTTGAATGAGTTCAGACTAATAACATTATACTTAAACCACAAATCGTAATTCAATAGGTTATCTTTATCGCCTAGTAAAAGTCGAAACCACTAGACAGAAATGCTGAGAATGCAGTTGATGAATGAATGAGGCATTCGTGGAATGTCTTCCACGTTCTTATTGTTTTTAAACTTTGAATGACAATCAAAATCGATGATATACTTATTAGGTTGTAAAATTAGACGAACATTTTGTTCAGGTTTGCTAGCTTTCTATTTACATAAATATAAGTAAATAGTGCATAGTTTGCTTTTTCTATAGTTTAATTAAGAATTTTACGATTTAATGAAATCTATATTTCGTTAATGCAATCCTCAATTATTAAAATAAATATAAAGAAACTGTTTGCATTGAAGCATAACCGCTACATGTTAATTATAAACAAGAAATTTTTGTGTTTTCCATTTAGATTAGGAAACAGTTCAACGTTTATTGAATGATAGTTTTTGAAAATATAAATTGCTTTATCTATGATTTGTGCCCTCAAATGCCCTGGTATGGCCGAGAGTGAGGATAGTCCGTTCTCCTTCTTGAAAATGCTCTCACATGGCCAAGCATGTGTAGCTTCTACCAGGAAAGTGCTACTCACTGCCTTCTCGTGGCGAGGAAGTTGTTAACGAAATCGGGAGGACGAAAAGTGAAAGTCCGGCGCTTTAACCGGGTTGGTGGACACGGAAAGTTCACCAAGGGTAGTTGGAAAACCTTGATTACAAACCAATGGTGCACATGGTCTCCAGTATCCTGAAGGAACAAATGACGAACGAATCAATCTTTGTTCACCAACTACCATGGGACTGTATCCCCTCCACTGCCTTGTGGACTAGGCCTTTAGGTCAAAGGCTCGGGGTGTGGCCTCCTAAGAAAACCACCTGTTTCAGTTTGGGCACTTGTGTAGTATGATAGCTCTCACACAAATCAAATGAGATTTGTGTGGCGCATATTTATCTGGTGCTTCCTTGTACCAATATTTATGTGTTTAAATAAATAAATAATAATCGGGTAAAGAATTTCTTAAATTAAAGCAAATTGTTGCTTGGATTTGAATAATATACTGAGACATTTATTGGGTGAATCAGGGATCCAAAAAGCACTTAATATTCCGATTCTGATACAGTTCATTACTCCATCTTAAACAGGATATTTTAATCTATTCCTTTCAATACGCAATGAATTCAATTCTCATGTTAGGGTTATACAGTGTGCTCCTTTATATATTTATCTATGAGTTAAAGGATAATGAAAATTTACTTTTGAATGACGTGTTAAAAAACGGATTAAAGCTATAATTGGTTCAGAGGTTTCATATCAACTAGTCAGAATTCACTAGAATTTTTCGACTTCGGCTAATCTCTATGTAAACATTCCTCTCTAAATTCATTCAATATTGTTTGTTTGAATCTTCCCATCGATTTGTTAGGACTGCAACTGGTCAGTCTCTAATTGGCATATGTGCATACTGTGTGTATTGCTTCAATATAGCCTTAATTCGCAAGCATGGTAAGATGAGATGGATAGTGGCTAACAGTGGATTCCAGGACGCGCGTTTCGTCCTATTTGTCTATCAGAACTCAGTGGCCGAGTGGATAACGCGATGGCGTTTGAAGCGAGGGTACTGGGTTCCAGTCCCAGAGTGAACATCAAATCTGGGATGCAGGTACATCTAACTGACGAGTCCCAAATATTACGATAGGCGCGTCGTGGATTCCACTGCTAGCCACTATCCATCTCTGATTCCTCTCTAATATTTTCAATACTCTATAAAAGAACAAATCGATTAAAATACCATTCATCCAACACATATCACATTCTCTTATCTTCATTTCAGTTAAATGAAGAATACCGTTTACTAAGTTAATTATTGCTTATTTTTACGTGGCTCTCTTTACTCACCGATCTTAGTTTGACATTCATTAGTAAATACTTTTGTGAGATCAGAATATCCTGGATTCCATCTTTTGTTTGGTTGTTAGTACTCATTGTTGATGAGTCTTAAACTAGAATTTTTTTTAAAAAAACAGTTCTTCAGCTATTCTAGTTTTCTATGATATCTGAAAATTAACCAATCATCTATAAATTAAAATGATTCCCCCCCCTCCCCCAAAACCCCTATATTATTACTATTTTTGATTTATATCAAAAATTAAAAAAAATTCTTACTTATTTATGTTTCTCTATACTCAAATGAAATTCATTTTCTTCCCTTTCCTATTATATTTCTCATTTACAAAAAGGGAAAGAAAGTAATGAATAGTTCCCTATTCAACCAATCAAATGTTAATGAATAAAGGAAATATTCCCTTCATTATAACTGATCAACTCAAAAATATCAAAAAAAACAACAACTAAATATGGTTTTGATTTAGATTGAAAGAGAAAGTCATATATACATATATATATAATTAATTATTGTATTTCCACGGAAATCGTTGCACTGTATTCTATTCATTGTTTTGTTGAAATGACATCTTTTACTACAAGTAAGTAAAAGTGATATTTTATTTTTAAAGTGTTATGATAAAGACTATTAAATAGGACGAAATGGTCGTCCAGTGCTTCCAGGTTTTCCATGGTGGTCTAACTTCAATTGACTAATGATCTCAACTATGAAAATAATTATAAGTTTAAAATTCATTTATTATTGTTTGTTTGAATCTTCCCATCGATGTGTTAGGACTGCAACTGGTCAGTCATTAATTGGCATATGTGCATACTGTGCGTATTGCCTCGATATAACCTTAATTCACCCCATCGCACAAGCAAGTGGCTATCAGAACTCAGTGACCGAGTGGATAACGCGATAGTGTTTGAAGCGAGGGTACTGGGTTCGAGTTCCAGAGTGAACATCAACTCTGAGATGTAGATACGCCTAGCTGACGAGTCCCGAATAGGACGAAACGTGCGCCCTGGATTCCACTGCTAGCCACTATTCATCTTTGCTTAATTATAAGTTTTCATTAAACTACTTACACAAATATGTAAACGAAGGATAGAAGGCTCACAAATGATTAATTTTGTAGTATGTGACAGGATTTTGTAAAAGGAACTAATGACTAGTGTAGTTTAAACATGTCTAATGTAGGACAATATTCAATGATGATGATGATGATGATGATGATGATGGGCGAAGATTGAGGTATACTATGAATTAATCGGAGTTGAAAATATAAACTATCGAATTCCATTCCAGTAATCTAAAAGTACCATGTTCATGAAAAGATTTGATAACTCTGTATTTGATCTTTTAGATGGGTTGAAACTAGGATAAAACAAATCTCTAGTGCTATGTGGCCCTTAGTAGTTTTACAAAAAGTGTCAATCAATGACAAGAACTACTTATAAATTTTGAGAAAAAATTGAAATTTCTATCAGATTTCACAACTTCAGAACAAAATAAATCGTTGGAAGAATGAATACTTATCTAATATAAAAGGTATTATATGAGTTTAGGACTATCAGTTGAGTAAATAATCTTAATTACTTTACGATCTATTATATCTAGGGTGTATGTTTTTTTCCCTTTTTTGTTTGTGTTATATCGATTGTTCGAGTGCCATGTTAAATATATGAACGTGATAAGACCGCCCAATGATAGAGGAGTGAATTATCGATCAGAGCAATGATACACAAAAAGCTGTACGAATAGTCTTGAGTACTTATCAGTCCTGCTTTCTGCCTGGTCCAGCCAATTAAGTCCAGAACATCAATAACAGCCTCTGTAATATGTATCATATTGGTCCATAAATAGTCCTCAGAGTTACCATTCATAATTCTCCACGGGATATAACACTTCCCCTTTTTTGAGAGATCCGGAGTTGATATTCGGATATTAGATATCCCGAATTTATCCTCCCTCACGAAAGAGCGTTGTATCCTCATATTCGCAAGTTACGTTTAACGTGGTTCTGTTTATAACATTTTTCGTGCACTCAATAGAGAATATGCTAGGACTGACTGAATGGTGAAGATCGACATTTGAAATGAGGTCAGAGTTTGGTTCTTCTCCACGGAATATAGCAGTATGTTGACTTCATCTAATGAAATCGATTTTGTTCGTACTCATATGTTAAAAAAATTTTATTCAGCAGTGGTCCAATTTTCTCTAATTCTTACTTAGCTAATATTATTTCATGTATTAGTTAATATTCAATTGGTAATTTAATATAGAGATCAGCTGTAATCGCATTTATCTCACCCTGAATTGCTTGAATTTATTTTATTACCGATTTCATAATTGTATAGTCTAAATACTCTTGAAGTTTAAAATAAAAATAAGTGGTTTTCAAACTTACAAATTTTCTCTAAAGCAAGAAAGACAAATATCATATCATATATAGTTGAAATCACGTGTCAATTAAAGCTAGATCACCATGGAAAACCTGGAAGCAATGGACGGCCATTTCGTCCTATTGTGGGACTCCTCAGCAGTGCGCATCCACGATCCCGCCTTGCAAGATTCAAACCCACAATAGAACGGAGCGGCCGTCCAGTGCTTCCAGGTTTTCCATGGTGATCTAGCTTCAATTGACTCATGATTTCAACTATATATAAAAATTACTAAAAATCCTCGACAAAGAACCCCCAAATATTATATCAGTTGATAACTTCTCTGATTCTATATTGTTAATGAAAGCACTCATAGCTTGAAAACATTTATCAATAGCTTACTGTGCTATAAACTAAAGGGGAGAAGTCATCTACCAATATCACCTACTTAAATACAGCAGAATAAAAGCAGATGTATCTATCTAATTGTTAACAAGAAGTATGAACATAATGTTTCTATGATGGTTATCTAATTGTTGAAGACAAAATAGAGTATTGATCAATAGCTTTCAAATGATAAGAATGTCTTATTCTATGGATTACTTTTCTTTCTTCTTTAAAGATACGTCATTACCTTCTAATCAATTTAAAATGTTTCCAGAAAACATTGTAAACTTACATTTTCCATCACCATCATCATCATTTTTACCTTATTCATCAACATTTGCACTTTTCAATGAACTTACAACAAAATTTAAACATCATTCTCATATTACACAAAACAACAGTTTACAATCAACTGAGATCAATGGTTCATTATCAGAGAATACTTACAAGGACAATAAATCTTCATATTCAAATTCTATAACCAATACATCTACTCATTGTTCCACAGATTTTGATGATACTCATACAACAACTTTAAATAATAATAATAATAATAATAATAATAATCATTATAATAATGAAAGTAAAGATACTACTGATAACATTGAACAATTCTCATTTAAACTTGAAAATTTTGGTACTTATTTTAAAAATTCATTAATTCCTTCTTATTGTTCTATACAGAAAAACAATGATTCAACAAATCAACAATCACCATTACATATTAATAGTCAACAATTCAATCATCATCATCATCATTCTATATCTTGGTTACATAATCCAGTAATCAAATTAGAAAGAGAAAAAGGTAATCATATAATAATAAATAAAAAGAGCATTACAAATAAACAAATCATACATCCTATAATGAATTTACCTAATGAGAGCCTAATGAAAGATCAAGAGGATATTGTAAACATGGAAGTAGAACCTTCAGCACCAATTATGTTAAAAGATGGAATAATTATGAATGAAGAATTATCTAATGAATCTATACATCAGTTATATTTATCAAATCGTAACAATCATAAATCTATTGAAGTAAATAATAATGATAATAATGCTGATGATATACAAGAACAATCAAAACGTTATCGGACTAGTTATTCACAAAAACAAATTGAAGTATTGGAGAAAACTTATCAATTAGATCGTTATATTAATCGACCACAAAGAGCTAAATTATCGATTGAATTAGATCTGCCAGAAAATAAAATTAAAGTAAATGACCATTGATAATGAACTGAATATTTGTCATTATGTATTTTTAATTAGGGTTTTAAGTAATGAAACTCTTTAATATGTTGAATGATTAAAAAAGTAGTTAAAAATAGAGATGGATAGTGGCTAGCAGTGGAATCCAGGACGAGCGTTTCGTCCTATTTGAGGCTCGTTAAGAACTGACCAGTTGCAGTTTTAACACATCGATGAGAAGATTCAAACAAACATTACTAAATGAACTTGGTGAAAATAGGTTAATCCTTGAAAGTATGGACCTTTTGTATCAGATATGTAGACGATTTCTTTATTCATTGTAGAAACATAAGAAAATGTGAAACTGGTCACTAATCTTTATTATTAAACTAAAAGAATTATAAATTCACTTAGAATTGTTTGGTTGAATCTTCCCATTGATGTTTAGGACTGCAATTGATCAATCTTTTATTGACATATGTACATATTGTGTGTATTGCCTCGATATAGCGTTAATTCACAATCATTATAAGCAAGGATTGATATTGGCTATCAATGGAAAGATTCAAACAAACAATTCTAAGTGAATTTAAACTTCACCTGATCGCACAAGCAAGTGGCTATCAGGACTCAGTGGCCGAGTGAATAACGTGATGGTGTTTGAAGCGAAAGGTACTGGGTTTGAGTTCCAGAGTGAACATCAACTCTGAGATGCAGGTACATCCGACTGACGAGTCCCAAATAAGACGAAACGCGCGTCCTGGATTCCACTGCTAGCAACTATCCAACTTTGCTTACATATAAGAATATTTTTTTATTGCACTGCATGTACGCTAGTCTGGTGAGATCTTATTCAGGTTTTAGTATTTTGCTGTCAGATTTACAGGATTGACAGTAACTGCTTAGTCTTATATTGAAATATAAGATTACTTATGCAGTTGTTCAACCAGATAACTTAACAACTACAACTTCGCATTTGTTGTAAGTAGTAGATATCCTCCCCAAACATTTATCAAATTGATCTTCTATTTTTATGAATCATTGATATCATGTCATAGAGAAATGAGTTAATCGTAATTCATTTGTATTCAGGTTTGGTTTCAAAACCGGCGAATGAAAGAAAAACGTCAAGCTCTAATGTTGCCAACTGTTGCAGGTAACTAAACATGTTTATTTACTAATAATTTTTAAACATTTAGTTCCTTTGATAAATTTTGATGAAATAATGAAACAAAGATTATCAGAACTATGTAATATATTAGCGTAATACATTTCGAACAATCTGACAACACGTATACTTTTAAAAACATCTATAAATAGAAAATCTAAAGTTCCACTAGAGGAATGGAGGGTAAGAGGAAACAAAAATATAAAAAAAGTAATGGGAAAAAACATTGGGATACTCATCACTCTAGGCAAAAGACTGATATTGCCAATATTGTATGTAAATGTTCTTAACAAGTATATGTGTGATCAGATTGTTCGAAATGTATTGAGCTACTATACCATATAGTTCTGATAATCTTTGTCTCCTTATTACACTATTCGAATTAGTTTTGAAGTTTTAAGTTTTGAATGATGCAATAATAGTAACGTAGAAAGTATCCTGCTTTTACCATCTGAGATAAGAAAAGTAACTGTTGAGATTTATATGGATTTTATAAAATATGAGTGTAATATTGTTAGGCCGAAGACAAATTATAAAATAAGTGATGAACTCAGTATCTACTGCTCATTCAGTTCAGTCTAGGAAAATTTGATTTTAGAACGTACTGAGGTCGGATCTCAGTGTGTAATCAACACCACAATTGAGATATATTCAGCTGAAAAGTTATGGATGGGACAAAATGCATGTCGTGGGTTCAGCTTCCAGTTTCAGTCCACATTTTTTTTTAAAATCTCTTGCAGAATTGCTACAAAGGAGTGATTTAATTAAGACCCACATCGGCTTACCAAAACTGATCGAAATCCAATCCTGAATATCGATAACTCGATAATATAGACACTTTATAACAATATCCTCAATTTTATTCGTAATTTAGTACCTTTATGTGTTGAATTGTAAACAATATTTTTTTTTATTGACAACAAAGAGATAATCAGACCAAGGGTACCAGTTAAACTGATAATATCTCTGTCCGGTAGTATATCGTACTTAAATAATATCTGAGAGTATACTTTGATTACACCTTACCAAAGCGGAGTTGTTAATTTAATGAAATATTAGTAATCAGATTAATTGAATTCACGGATATATTGTGAACGCATACCTGTAACATTAAAGGAACCGAACATTTCTTGTTATGATCTGATAACTATGTATTTGAATTCATGGTATAAATCATAGATATATGTATTAAATATACATACTGAATGAATACTCATGTAAGGTAGACCAAACAATTGATTCAAGCACAATCACACAGCAGTTTACTGAAATCTGAAAATCACCCATCAAAAACATCATTTTCATATCTTCTTTCAAGTATTTGTTATAAGTTTCATTGTTCCATCATTCTTGTTGTTACATTGATTACTTTCAGTTTCCTTATCTCTTCTTTTTTTACCTCAATTTTCTCAACTTCCGTTCGCAGACATTCCACTACGGACTGGTGTTACATACTACTTATATTAGCAAACATAAGTAGCATACACTACATATATTTATATTACAGTTCATGGATAATAATTAATTATCATATTTATTCTTCAGAAGTAACGTAACAGTTAAATTGTGTGTCCGATTAACTTTTGATATTTTCATGCAACCATAAAGTTTAAGACATTATCTCTAAGACAATGTTGATATTACCTAACATTAAATAAATCTCAATATAAGGGGATTTTGTGGAGATTTTAGTTATTTTTATGTAATTGAAATTATGAGTCAATTGAAGCTAGATCACCATGAAAAACCTAGAAGCACTGGACGGCCGTTTCGTCCTATTGTAGGACTTGAATCGCACGAGGTGGAATCATGGATGCACACTGATGAAGAGTCCTATAATAAAACGAAACGGCCATCCAGTGCTTCAAGGTTTTCCATGGTAGTCTAGCTTCAATTGACTCATGATCTCAACTACATATAAATCTCAATATAAACAGTTCATATTCAACATTGTAACAAATCGTTGTTGTTGGTGTTCTTTTCCAACCATACTTCATTCAAATCACTTCATGCTTCTATTTAAACAAGTTCACTTATTTTCTCTTAATTATTTACAAATTATTATTATTATGATAATAATATTTTAATTACTTTCAACCCGTTATTGTTTCCTTTCATAAATATAATAAAATCGTGATGTTTTTTAAAAATAAAAAATAAAAACCCGCCAATTTTTTAATTTTTAAATTTATCCGCTAATTTAATGTGAGCACATATACATATGCATACTACTTATAACTAATTAAAGGTACTATTCACTTCTTATACCAACTTATTTAATACAGTCAATTAGGAAATTATGTTATTAGATGAAGGAAAAAGTGTATAGAAATTGTCTGGGTATATTTTATGACTTCCTTTAAAATGTAATAACATTCATTTTTATTGTTAGATTAAGTTTAATAGTAGAACTTATTAAGAAAGCCATACACAGAATGTTTAAGGTAATGAGTGAAATCTAATCTTTGCTTTATTTTTCTGGTAATAGACATTTATTATGTACTTTTATCAAATTACAATAACTTTTTACTGTCATACGTTTTTGTATTACTTACTGGTTGAAATAACTCAGTTTGACACCACCTCAGTGGCCTAGAGGTTAAGTGTTCGCATGTGAGACCAAAGGTTCTAGGTCCGAATCCCGTGTGAGGGATCGTGAATGTGTACTGCTGAAGAGTCCCATACTAGGACGAAACGGCCATTCATTGCTTCTAGGTTTTTGGCGATGGTCTACCATTAATCGATTCGTGATCTTAATCAAAAACTTAACAATCTCCACAACCCCCTACTGATATATTACTTATAACTGAGAAGAGTAGAGAACTGAATATAGTTTACTTAATTTGTGACTCATTTTCATAAATTAGTCAGCTATAGTAAACTTTTAACACACGAATTCCCAAGACATTCTTGTCGTAACGTTTGTGACTTTTACAACATAGAACCTGATAGTAACATTTCTGGAAACGAAACCGAACAATACGCTTCTTTATTTAGTCATGTTTATTGATAACTTCTACCAATAAGCATTATACACGAGCTGAACGATATTTTATTCTAGATGACAACAAATTTTCGATAAACCAATTTTCTTCTTTTCAACACATTTTTTTAAACACTTTTACAAGTGTACAATGCATTCATGAATGTGTAATATCACTGGTATGTGGACGACTAGTTCATAAGTAATTATGTACGTTCTGTTTATGCTGTCTAAACAGATAAAACATTGTACTATACTTGGAAGATTTTTGGTATTTTATTAATTTTTCAGTTCATACTAAGAAACAACATTAAAATATGGTCTTATATCTCTTTTACATCAATTGTGACTGAAAATAATAAAGACTGATTATTTAGAGGTGGACAAAAATCATCTGAATAAAGCATATTTTCTTTGAGGAAACCAATATACGAACTGCTTTGCTAGATTTTATGCAATCTGATACTATATTCATTAATTAGAAATATGATTTCCAATTGTCAAACAATGAATCTTAGTAGTTCGTTATAATTAATTTAGTTCATTAGATAACTCACACTATTTATGATGAATCGAAAGCCACAGTTGAAAATGGCAATTTTATTATTGTATATAGTTGAGATCATAAGTCAATTGAAGCTAGACCATCATGGAAAACCTGGAAGCACTGGATGTCCGTTTCATCCTATTGTGGAACTCCTCAGTTGTCCGGATCCACGATCCCACCTCACGAGATTCCAACCCAGGACATAGCAGTCTCGTGCCAGAGCACTTAACCGATAGACCACTAAGTCGGCATTCAACGGTGTTAAAGTGTAACTTCAACCAATCCACGAAATTGAGCAACCATTCATTTATTATTGGTTACAAACATTCAAAATGATTTCAAGTTATTATTTTAACAGATGATTTATTTTATTTTTAGTTCTGAATACTATAATGACTGAATAAATTTTCCAATGCAGTTGTGCATTTTGTTTAAGTGATATACCAAACGTGAATCAAAGTTGAATCATGAACTGTGGTGAAGCAAAATGTAACAATCATATATATGTGTAAGAAGTTATTAACTATAATGAACTAAATAGTTTTTTGAATAATACTTGACTTCAGAAGCAGTCTATGGTGGTTTTAAATTTAATTGTGGACATCAACACTGATATTTAAGAGGGATTTAGCTGATGAGTCCCAAATAGGACTAATTATATTGTCTTGGATACAACTGCTAGCCATAATCCAAGCTTGTTATGAATATATCAACTATTGTTTAATATCTATGATCTATAACCTTCTAATTCTGTTTTTTTTCTTTCAGATGATTACATTTTAGTTTGTTAAATAAAAATTTTCTGTTATACATATTTAAAACTATTTCCCATTATGTAACATTGATTAAAGCCTTTTATTATTCTTATCACAACTAGTACCCCTGTCATCACATTGTACTTTTCACTTATTATGTAATCTATTCCACTAATTATCATTGACTCACAAACTGCCCTGATTAGTTTAACAATTTCGTATATTCATATAAATATTATTGTATATTAAAGTAAAGCCTGATGAGGATCTAATCGAAAGCAATATTGTTTGCTTCTATATATGTTGTTCTAAATCACAATATGGGAATTTTGCAAACTAATAACATTGTTTGATAGAAATTACAAAATGATATCTATATGATTTCGATTAGTGATTAATTGGTGTCGTCTTGCCAAAGAAAGAATCTGGAGTTTATTGTTGTAATCCAGTATAGAGTTAATGGAGGGTTATTGATAAATAATAAACTTGAATAAAGTAGAGGTTTAGTTTATACTTGTCTTTAATGAGTTTCTAACTGATGTTAGTCTATAATAGAAATCATTTTTTAAAATTAAACAAATATTCCAAACACCAAATGACTTTTTTTAATGAAAGTTTAAACTCTCGATTATTAAGAAAATTTGAATTACTAAATTTACAGAAGCTAAATAAGATTGAAAGTTGACCAATACTCTTTTAATTCATGAATTTATCTTCACATTAACTATTACAGTAAAGTGTATTCATACATAAATTGTAGCTGACTGACTGATTGAATCATTGACCTTTTCCCGTTTTATAACATTGATTCAAGCCTTTTATTATTCTTATCACAACTAGTACCCCCTGTCATCACACTACCAATTTGTACTTTTTTACTTATTTTGTAATCTATTCAACTATCTATCATTCACTCATAAACTGCCTATCGCTTCTCGGCTCTTTGAGCTAAGATCATGTGTAGTATCTAAACTGTCTTGATTAGTTTAATAATTTCATATATTCATATAAATATTATTGTATATTAAAGTAAAGCCTAATGAGGATCTAATCGAAACCAATGTTATTCGCTTATCAAATGTTGTTCTAAATCACAAATATGAAAATTTTTCAAATTTTAAAAATTAAAAACACAAAAAAAATTTTTTAAATTTTTATTTAATAAATTAAAACAAGAGACAATGAAAAAATTTTGTTTTTATAAACAAAGAAAAATGTCAAAATTCACCTTTTTAATTATTAGATTGTTCAATAACAAAAGTAATTTATGATTGAATTAGTATTTTGATTAAAGGATTTGTCAAAATAATAATAATAATACCACTTTTATGATACATTACCATCTGGATGTTAACTATTCACTTATTACTAATACTACTAATAATGATAATAGTAATCTATAAATCACATGAATAAATTTCGGTCAAACTAAGTAGTCAGTTATTGTGAACTTAATATAGAAAAGATACATTTTTGTGTTATTTTAACATGATTACATAATCATTGAACTGATAAATAAATATAAAATGTAAATAGATCATTTAAGTATAATAAACATAATGTATAATTAGTTAGAAATTATTTTAATGATCATTGTTGAATGGATAAACCATATGTTTGTTTATTTATTTATATATTTTCGAAAGAGGGTTTTGTGGAGATTTTTAGTAATTTTATATAGCTGAAATCATGAATCAATTGAAGCTAGACCACCATGTAGAGAAGCAGTAACTAGTAGAGTTCAACCAGGTCTGTTTGGAGATATCAACTCACTGAAGACAATTGGTGAATGGTTGCTCGGATTTCGTGGATTGGTTGAAGTTAGACATTAACAACGATGGATGCCAGCTCAGTGGTCTGTCCGTTAAGTGCTCTCGTGCGAAACTGATAAGTCCTAGGTTTGGATCTGGCGAGGCAGGATCGTGTATGCGCACTGCAGAGGAGTCCCACAATAGGACGAAACGGCCATCCAGTGCTTCCAGGTTTTTCATGGTGATCTAGTTTCAATTGATTCATGATCTTAACTATATAAAATTAGTCCTTTTGATAAACAGTAATCTATGCAGTTTATATGCATCTATACTAAGCTGTAGATTGTTTAACCAATATTGTTTTTGGTTATGAAATACTTCTTCAATAGTGGAATTTCAGTTTTTTATTCTTGGTTTTTTTTTACAGATTTTATTAGTATTTTTAAGTTATATTCGTCACAGACTGATTTCATTTGTAGTACCCTTACAGGAATGTTTCATTCCAGTACGGAACACCTCAGATGCGTCCATCCATTATTGCATCAAAGTTCAAACCCAGGACCTTCAGATCTCGCTCTAACTGCTCGATCATTATAAATAGTGGGTCCGCATCTAATTATAAATCAGAAAACTTTTTATCGAAGCACAATTTCCATTTCTTAAAAGTGATGATCAAATTTCTGATTTAAAATAAATAACTTCTGGAGACTTTGTGCATTTAGTGTTTCTATGTTATTGATCTACATCATGGATCAAAGGATTTTTATTTTGTTATCAAGAGGTTAACTTTAAGTAAATTTTTAGATAAGATTCGATCTACAAGGTTTTTTAATATTCTAAATCGCATTGAATTCAATGTAAAGGTGGTAATGCCATGTACATAGTTTGTACTTGTCCAAGTTTCTCATACAGGATCAATATGTAATACGTTGTCAACTTTAGATCGCTATAGATTTCCATAGGACTAAATTAACAGATTAAGGTCATAAAAGAAAGCAATTTATCAAATACATCTAACTCAAACATTAAAAATTGAAATAATACAGTAAATGGAAATTTGACTTAACACTCAATAATAATCAATCTGTTTTACCATAATTTATCACCAGCCAAAGTTTGTTGACTCTTAGTTAAGATCCTGAATTCACTAATCAAGGGTATATAAATCTGTTTATCGTTTCATACATTTTTTAAAACTTTTATGAGGCATAATTCTATATCTTGATTGGTTATGTATCCTGAAAATATATCAATTAAATCAAAGATGGATAGTGGCTAGCAGTGGAATCCAGGACGCACGTTTCGTTCTATTCAGGACTCGTCAGCTGGATGTACCTTCATCTCAGAGTTGATGTTCACTCTGGAACTCGAACCCAGTACCTTTCACTTCAAACGCCATCTCGTTATCCACTCAGCTACTAAGTCCTAATAGACACTTGATTGTGCAATGAGATGAAGTTTAAATTCACTTAGTATTGTTTGTTTGAATCAATGGGAAGATTCAAACAAACAATATTAAGTGAATATCAATTAAATATTCTTTTTTACTGTTTCCTCATTATGATTTTCTCCCGTCAACTATTTTAAATACTTTCAGTTGAACCTACGTTGTCTATCTAGAAAGAAGAATAAATGACTATCACACTAGTGAATATATTTAACATTAAATTCATCAATCAACTCTCTTGTTAACAATTTTAGTTGAAATTTTCAAAATTAATAACCTTGAAAATAATGTTGTTGTATTTAGATGAATGCTTTATTCCTTTATATGTACTTCATGATGAAGGTACTATAAGAAAGGAAAACGTATACTTTGTGTTAAGGATCAAAGCAATAACTAGATAATAACAGTTGTATTTATTTCACCAATCACTTTTTTGTTTATTTCAAAGGATCAAGTTTTATCGAGGTGTTTTGTTTTAAAAACTTTAAAGTCTTTATTTTTATTATTGTAGGTAAAGATCCTTATTTGAGAGAAACTCTTCTTAGAGTTACACAATTATATTGTGCAACACGATATGGTAATGAATTTCCTATTATGGATATGACAAAGTCTCAATCAAGAGTTTTACAAAATAGAAATGTTTCTAGTGAAATTCGTAAACGGATAAGAACATCATTTAATCCGACAACAACAATCACAACAGCTGTATTATCCGATAAAAACAGTCACCATAATTGCAAATCACAAAGTTTGTCAAAGAAACCATGGGAAAAAGAACCTAATTTAATAACCCATAGCATGAATAAATTTAAACATAACTTCATTCATAAGAAGAATGAAGCTAATCAGTCAAATATAAAGTTCAGTAAATCTTTGCTAAATAATACAAATGAGCAAATTCTATCAAGAAGGCATGAAAATGAAGTTGTAACTTCAGGGATTTCTCGTGAAAACTTCAGTCCAAAGTTTCAGAATGACACAGAAATATCTAGTGATAATATAATGGACAAGAATGTTGATATAAACAAATGCGCAATGATTTCTCATCCTTTAAATCTTTCAACTTCATCAGTTAGTAGTGATGAAAGTCATTCATTGGTTGAAGATCAATCTATTCAAACAAAACAAAATTTTACCAATCTATTTTCAACATTTCCATTCATTCATAGTACATCCTCAGCTATGTTGGATTATCATAATGAATCGGTTATCTCATCTACAACATCACAAATGAATTCATTCTAATTTACTCAAATCATCAAACATGGGTAAACGTTTTAAAAACCTGCTCAACTATATTTCAATCATTATCAATGCTTATCATAATCTTATGTATGGAAGGATTAGAACGTGTAAATGAATGGCAGTATGCATAGATAAGAACAGCTATAGTGATATATTGAATGTGAATCAATTAATTATAAGGAGAAATCTTTTATTCACTACTTGATCATTATATTCAGAAAATATGTATACACATAAGTGTACAGATAAGAAGTATGACTATTCGGAAATGGACCATAACTTTCAAATTATAACATCAGATAATACAGAAGTCATCAATGAATGCTGTATGCTTCCAGTATCGTCAGAAATCCTACAGTTATTATCATTTTTATACTGCTTAAGTCAAATTTTGTGTGTAAATATAAACAATCTTCTTTGAACCACTTGAAAGGTACTTGATAATGATTACCTTCTGCATGTTTTATCACATGTGAATGTAGTTCTTGTTAGAAACATTTTGAGTTATAGCTTAGTCACAGTCATATAGTCCATTTTTATAATAAATATAGTTCCATTAGTACCATCAAATATAATATATTGTTTAAATTTTGTCAGCCATTTAATTCGTAGCTTACAGAGGGCTGATATTAAAACAGTTGTGGTTTTTCTTCTTTATTATTAACAGTAAATGTTAGCAATATAATCATCATTCTTAAATTCATAGCGATTGGTTGAAGTCTTATAAAAATATGTGCTCAATATGTCCAAGTGCACACTTTTGTTCGCCCAAAAGATGCAACATCCTGAAAAATAAATTATTTCTGGCTGTAACCACGTTCGAACTTAAATCTACATTAATGATAGTGTGATTACTAAAATTATGGAAGTAGTAATCACTCGACAATCTCTTAGTCTTTGTATTCACAATAATAATAATTACTAACTGTACAATTTATAAACTTATCAATACTATTGGGAGATAAGTTTGAGGAGTACGAGATGGAGGTATGAAAAACTGTTTAACAGTGCAACTATATTAATGTTGTTCTTTATATGCCATTTAATAATAATAATTTTAATAAATTCTAATCACCTATCAAATATTCCTGTTTAACATTTTTTGGCGAGTTAGTTTTCCATAGGATGGAGTCGCTAACCCCAAGCCCAACACCCCTCCTTTATCCGGGCTTCGGACCGGCAGTAACCCCCGGAGGGGCTACAGGCGGAGTTACCTATCAAATATACTTTATTATTCAAGAAATATTCAGTCTTAACACGTTGAATTGTTTGCTAGTCAATTCATATTTAATAGCTTCATATAATGTACTTTTAACAGTTGTATTCTTCTAAATTAGATTTTAGAATTGTAAATATACAAATTCTTGAAAGACAATTTTTGTAATTTTTTATTTACAAACCTTTTAAGCAAGCCAAATGAAGGATTTTAACCAACCATTACATATTACTAGAGTCTAAAAGAATCGAAAATATATCCTTGAAGTTAGACTACCTGAATTACAGAATTAGTTTTGATACAGGTTGACATACATTTCATGGAACTATTACTACTACTCACATAGCTACTACTACCCCTAATTTTAGCAAGACCACTAATACTACTGATATTGTGGTGTATACTACTTATGTTGACAGACAGAACTAGTATGTCACACCAGTCGGGAGTAGAAAAAACCTGTCAGCTGAAGATTAAGAAGATCGAGGTGAAGAGAATAGAAAAAGAAATAAAAAAGTAGCGCAAACTGGAAGAATCATACAGAATGTAAGGGGCAAATAATAGAAATTCGCAAATGAAGTATTTAATGTATGGTTCTCATGTTTTACCAAGAAATTCTATAATTTTGTGCTGGAAAATCAATGAAGACCTAAGTCTTCATAACTTATTCTAACGCAGCAAATAAGAGTTATTTGACAATACACTTTTATCATTTTAATATTATGTTTACAAACTTAAGTGCATTACTCTGTCGACTTGTTTTTTTCATCGAAAGAACTCAACCGAAGCATCAAATCCATCATTTAACATTTATATAAAACTATAGATACAAACATTTATTACATACAAAATGATAGTTTTACAAAGGTTTTGGTGTAAGGCGATGAAAATTGAAATGCTAAGCATTCTTTATAACATTCTTCATACATTATACTTGACACAAATCTATTTCATAGATGAAAGCATGAGTCAACTGAAGCTAGACCACCGAGGAAAACCTGGAAACACGAAACGGCCGTCCAGTGTTTCCAGGTTTTCCTCGGTGGTCTAGCTTCAATTGACTCATGCTTTCATCTATGAAACATACCAAATCTCCACAAAAACCCCTTCTAATAATTAACAAATCTATTTATTTTAATTAATAACCATTCCGGCTGTTTTATATTTCATTTCATAGTGAACATCAGAAATTAGTCTTGGTTAAATCAACAGTAAAAATTGGGAAGTTCTGGATCTTGATTTAGTCAAGATCAGTTCAGAATGTTAGTTATAAATTTCACAGAATCTTCATAGATCTCCCATAGAAAATATATTTAGCTATTTACGATCAAGATATTTCATCTCAGTTTGTGATTGAGGTATATTTAATATGGGCTTTCAAACTCATTCAAGCTATATGATTTCAGTTTCACAAGCTAATCAAGACCTATGGCCTACTTAAAAATGAACACTTTGTTGTGACTGCCATTTAGAGAATAATGAATAGGGAAGAAAGCTTGTAAGAAAATTAATAATTAATTTACAATCTTGGCACGACTGATATATGTAAACTTTAAGATTACAAGAAATTTACTTGGCTACAGCTTACCAAGAAAACTATAAGCTTCCGAGTCATATTCTAGATCAACCAATTTTGATTTAGATGAGTTAAACTAGCCAATGAATTATCAATTGGAATATCTGAAACTCATTTTAAAACTCATTTTAAAAACTCATCTTTACTAAAAATACTTTTAATCAGAACTAACCTATAACATAGACGTAGATTTTTTGAGTATTTGTTATGAAACATAATCACAAATCAGAACAATTCTCCAGTCAATAATTAGGTAATGGATGGAGTAATATGAGCTGAGTAAGCAATAGTAAGGTGATTTGAGTGCTACTTAAATCCTGCATGTGATATTACTTATCTTCAATGATAGTGATAAAACGATATATGAATGATAGTAGCGATAATATTTAAATTCATTAGTCGATTAAAGCTAGACGGTGGACAATCACACAATATCGTGGATTGGTTGAAGTTAGACATTCACACCGTTGAATGCCAGCTTAGTGGTCTAGAGGTTAAGCGTTCGCCCACGAGACCGTAGGCCTTGGGTCCGAGTCCCGTATGCGGGATAGTGGATGCGCGCTACTGAGGGGTCCCATACTAGGACGAGACGACCATCTAGTGCTTCCAGGTTTTCCATGATGTTCTAGCTTTAATCGACTCATGAATTCATCTATTGAAAATTACTACAATATTCACAAACCCCCATTCTGATAATAATATTTGAATATGATGAATTTAAGTTTTGAAAATACAAAATGAAAGATTAATTGTACATTAACCAAGTTAAATCATCAAAAATTTAAAATGACCACTGAATTATTGGGTTAGAAGTTGGGTAACGTAAAACAAATGGTTGAGTATATCTCTTTTGTTCACTGATATTTTTCGTCATATATGTATTTAAGATTGCAAGTTGAGTGAAGAAATAATTCTTACGATTTAATCTCACATTAAGTTTCTATTCTAATTAATATTTTTAACAGTTAAGAACGAAGTAAATGTTAAATAAGCGGTGGTCAACCAATTTTACAATGTCTTACATAAAACTGTAGTCCGTTACAAGGTGAAGAGATGTAAAATTAGAAAGAAAATAGATGAAATTATTCCAATGATTAACCATAACAATTTGTTACGTAAGAGTGAGAATTAAATAATTTCGAAATTGAACAATGTTTCCTGTTGTCAGCAAAGATGGATAGTGGCTAGCAGTGGAATATAAGACAGGCGTTTCGTCCTATTTAGGACTGGTCAAATGGATGTACCTGCAAATCAGAGTTCATGTTCACTCTGGAACTCGAACCCAGTACCTTTCGCTTCAAACGCCATCGCGTTATAAACTCGGCCACTGAGTCCATCTTTGCTTACAATGCTTGTGAATTAAGGCTATATCGAGGCAATACATACAGTATGTACATATGCCGATTAGTGACTGACCAGCTGCAGTTCTAAACATCAATGGGAAGATTCAAACAAACAATACTAAATGAATTTATTGTTTACTGTTATTTGTAAAACTAATAGTAGGTGATTAGTAAAAACGGGTTGAAAGGAAATTAGAAAATCAGATTATTAGGATAGATAGGTCATGTATAGTAAATTTTTTAATTAAAACTGAATAGAAATGAAAATTTTGAAAAAATTCTTGTAACTAAGACGAAAAAAGTCATGGTAAATTAAAAGGCTGAATAAACTTTTTTTGTTAACAAAGATTAAATTTATTGATGTGTATACCACTGGTTACTGTTGTCTGTAAAAAAAAAAGATTGGATAAAATAAGGCAAGTTCGACAGAATTCTAAAAATAACTTTGGAAGCTAAATTCATATTTATTTGGTGACCGATAACTATTAAATGTAACAATACAGAGCTTCTTATTGTATTATTTTCCCCTTGGTCAACCAAGAAAGGTGATGTTTAGAAATATAGTGGTTGCATAAGAACAGTTGAACTGGTGAATGCACATAGAGACAATGGAAGTACATAATTCGTCTTTAGTTTGTGCACTCTCTATCGACTGACTGAATAATAAAAAACATTACTTAGCTGTGTTAGCTGGTCGTTTTATGGCTTTTCTTATACATTGTATTGTAGGTTATTTTATCAATAAAATAGGTGAAACTATGAACACTTTTTTTTACTTGTGTGTAGTAATCAAGAATAGTTTTGATTTTGTGATGGGTAAAACTGACTTTCGATTTGTATCTGTCAATTGAAATCTAATTTCCGTCACACCGAAGCTCACTTATGGAAACGCTTGTTAACTATAATTAATTAATTAATTATATTATATTATTAATTAATTATATAATTAATTAACTATAGTGAACAAAAACACTAATGGGGACAATCGGATGTATTTAGACACAAGTT